GAGAGAGAGAGAGAGAAATGTGCAGTTGTCTTTAAGATTTATGTTTTTGAAAGTCAATAATTAACAAAAAACAGTTTTTTTTTTTAAAGTTATCACAACTTGTTAAACTTGTTCATATTTTTATAATAACTTTTTCATATTTTGCAATACAGATTAATTGTTAACTATTTCTAATTTATTTAACAATTAATTATTAACTATTTAGATATACCAACTTTAACACAATCATCTTTTTATTTTTGTTATCATGTACATTTAATATTTGTATCTGTTTTTATCTGTTCTTATCTGTTTTTTGCGATGTTACCGGATTTCAATAGTCATATATAATTCGACTATATTTTCTTTTATTATATATTGTTTCTTACTATGTTATTTCAAATTTGTCTCATATGCGTTGTTATATTACGTTTTCTTTGCATATGTCAAACAAAATTCGATGATTATTAATAAAAATAAAATAATAAATTTCACGAAACTGGTTGCATCATGTGTATTCAGATGGAAGAAAAATCAGCGAATATATTATTATTATTATTCGTTCGACAATTATACGTGTATATATGTTAATATTCATAAGTGACGTAAGAATAATTTTTCAAGCATGAATGCTATTATAATTTTTATATGCTTGTCACATAAATTATATACACGCTTTAGAGTTGTATGATGTATTTCTCCAGTTGTAAAAAAAAACCTAATAAATAATTTACATTATCTGTTGATATTTTTCAACCGAGCATTTAAAAAAAAATTGAAATTAGTCTTCATCAAAAAACTTGTTGTTTTTACAACAATGAAAAACATTGAAGTCTAGTACTTAAACATAGTTAAATAGATGGTATTTATAAAAATATTACAAATAATGTATGTTAATAAAAATAGCGATTAATAATAATTTGTTTTAAAGTTTTTGTTAAAGTTTTGTTAAAGAACAGTCGAATCTATCAAATTATTTAAAAAATATTTCTTTAAAAAGAAACTTTCATTCTTTTTTAGAGAAACTATCAATATCCGTTAACGTATGATACATAGTACGAGGTTTTTTATAAAGCAATACATATTGATCTATTATGCAAATATATATTTTTGTTGCTTAAATTTCTAAAAACATATAAACAATTTCACTTTTATTCTTATAGAACAGAAATATAAATTAATTTTGTGTTGTACTAATTTTTTAAGATTTATTACATAGGATATTTTAATGCAATCATACTTTTTTTGAAAAATAATTATATATGTTTTCTTTATAAAAATTGATTTGTATTCTATGCAAAAATATCAAGATAACATTATTAGGAAATTACATTAATTCTCTTATATGTAATTAAACGTATCATGTAAAAAGAATTATATAAAATCATATAATTTAAAATAGTTTTTATGTGATTTTTGCGATTTATCTAATATCAAACCACTAATTAAATTCCACACTTCTTCCTAATTCCACCACATTCTTTTGTATGACATAACATTTAGGAGAGATACAACTGTTTCAAAATTAAATACACACATCACACACACACACACACACACACACACACACACACACACACACACACACACACACACACACACACACACACACACATCAGAGCATTCATTATTTACTGTATATATTACACATTTTGTCATTTACTATAAAAACTAAAATTTCATAAAGAAAAATGATATTTAAATTTATAAATTTTTTTATCCTTTTTAAAAATAAATTTTTAGCATAATGTTTTTTTCTATTTTAAAAAATTATTACTTTTTGTATTTATTCTTTTTTTCAATTTATTTAGAAAATATTTAGTCTGTATAAGTACCTTCTACTAATTTTTTTATTTTTCTAATTTTATTATTTTATTTTATTTATAATTCTTTATGTATTTTCTCTCATCTTTATGTATCTTATGTATTTTTTTTCATTTTTATGTATTTATAATTCTTAAAAGTATATAACTAATTCTGAATTTAAAATAACTCTACATCAAAATGACGTAATTGCGACTCAGCAGAGTAAATATATGATGACAAGGATACCTCAGACTTTTCTACAAATCCATGTTAACTTCTGCCTGTACAGTCCAGTCTTTCTTTATTCGTCGAATATCGCTGATCATTTTGTACAGTATTCTTGTGCAAATAAGTTTACATAAAACTTTGATTTTTATGCAACTGTTTACGGGCAATTATCACCTGCAAAAATACCAAACAATCCGAAGAACCTTTTTTTAATTAATTTTATTGTTCAATTATTAGTACTGTTTTCGCTCGTTTTAAATCGAACGGTAAATGTGTTCTTTCTTTCCCTCGAAAGCGAAAAGAATAATTTAAACTTGCGCTGTAATAAAGTTTGTTATATAAATAGAATACATCCTCAATATTAACTATTAATTTTATAATTAATATTAATATTTACGTAAGATTAATTACGTAAGATTAATTTTCAAGAATGAAATAAAAGTGATTATTAATTTTACAATTAAAATCAATGTTTAATAAACTGTAAAATTAACTTTTATTACGAAAATAAAAGTGACTATTATACCAAAGTAGCATTATGTCACAACGGCAACTTGCATTTATTTTATGTATTTGCATAAATATTGCCAAGTTATCTTGTGTTCCCGCACAAACTTGCAAATCGATTGATAATGTTAATGCCAACAATAATTATATACTGCCCGCTTATGCTATTGCTTCGTTAGCTTCACAACTTCCTAATTCGACGTTATGCGAAAAGGAATTGCAAAGCTTCCGAGATGCTGTTGATGAACGGATATTCTGGAGTTTGAAAGGTACACAAATTTTTTAATTATATTTATAATTTAATAAAGCGTTCAAATGAAGTGAAGCAAGGCTAAAAATAAATAAATGTTAAATTGTTTAATTGTTTAATGATATTATGATCTAGTAGTTTAATTTAACTAAAATCGAATTGATTGACATATGGATAAAACATATATCTGGATAATAACATATATCAAAAGACTGATTTAAAAAATCAATAATTAACAAAAATGTTGCATAAATAAGAAATATTATTTAATAATTTTCTTAAATAACATTTGTTTTTTTATCTTGAAGTATTGGATTCTAGCGGCACATTTCAGTCAGGTTTCCTTTTTGGAAATAATTTTTGGCTGGGCAGTCGTATCCAATGTGTCGATGCAATGAATAATATTCCTCTGCAGATCTCACAACGGCATTCATTAAACAAAACATTATACCATAATTCACAAATGGAAATTCCACCTTTTGAA